GTCAACCAGGAAGTAGCAAAACCCTGGCTTCATTTTGTCAGTGCAGAAACCAACGGGTGACGTCACGGAAGCTACGTCCATCTTTTATACAGTCTGTGGTTAAGATGTTGATTGGCTAACTTGTTCACTTTAAGCAAAACTCACCACTCAGCTTTATACACTCCTTCATGCGTATTTCTGTGTATTTTAAAGTTTAAGGTTGAACATCACTACAACAAATCATAACACATGTTTTTGGCTTGTCAGTGCCAAAGGATCTCCAATGACACATTAATCCAGTCGGACACTATGGAGATCAAAAGAGCTGATTCCTTGGTTCCCAGTCGATACCAAAATTCTGAAAACATGTTCACTGTGTTACTGAGAGATCTGAATGTGGGAGCGGTCATAGGTGGCCTACTGGAGATTTGGTTTCTTCAGAATGCTATCAGAAGGTGCAGGTCTAGCAACAAGTCAGCTGCAACTTGTGAAAAAAAATAAAACTACCACGAATAACATAAAGAGACATTTTGTGTTTGAATCAATTATCAGGGACCAGTTTTAGACAATCAAAATTAGAATGCAAAATGTGTCACATTGGGAAAAAAAATGCAAAAAAAAAGCTCAAACTTATTGAACCAGCTGAAATTCAAGCTGAGAGAGTCTCAGTTGTTACTTTAAATGAACAGAATGTCATCACAATGTTCACATCCTCACATGTTAACGACTCTTCAGAAAAAGCTCATAATGTGAACTGGGTGCTGCTGATAATGTTAGTAGGTTACCAACACCATTGGCACAATATTGTTTTAATAACAGTAATATATTATTTACATAAAGGCTCCATCCCAATTTCTTTTTTTAAAATAAGAGTTGCTGTTGAAGCACATTAAATTCATTGGTTTATTTTTTGCTGTGGTATTAAAACTGGTATCAAGAACCACAGATCAGTAGTATTGGTGCTGACTATTAAATTTCTGGTATTGTGACATCCCCAATGGATAAAATGATATCAGCATACATAGAAATCCATTTGTGCATCAACTGTTGTTGACAAAAGTCTTGTTTGTTCAGTTGTTTAACATACCGCTAAGTACATGATACTGACATTTTCAAAAAATTCTGCGTAGTCCTACATCTTAGTGGCACATACATTATGTGCTTTAACACTTTCCATCACACACAGACATCCAACACAACACACCTCCTCCACCACGACTGCGGCTCGATGACGAACTCAGAACGGCACAGGGAGGCTGTGAAGGCGAAGGGCCACGCCAGCAGCATGAGGAAAGAGACGAGCAGCAGCCGCACTGGAAAAACTGTAACCGACATCAGCGCTATCTGGAGAGAAATCGAAAAGACACAGAGAGATATGTACAGTTTACATTGTTAGCATACCACTGCATTTGCAAAACCTATTATTCGCTGTAGCATTCCTGTGGCTTTTGAGCCAACTGTCAAACAATGATTACTGAAAGTCTTTAGCATACTGTACATTCTTAAACACAGTGTGTGAAGTACACCGTGTCTTTTGTGGAAGCTCACTTATTTGTGGTAAGAAATGACAGAAACAACATTTGTAAAGCACTCGATTTAGCTTTTTGGTTATTAATATGATTATTATTATGATCAGTACTGATATTTGTGGCAAAACACAACTCTGGCCCTGATCCAAAATGTGCAATTAGGCTGCTTTTTT